AGGATATAACCATCAGCAGTCGGAAAGAGTCACCAAAACATCATTTAAAAAATTCAGTCCCGGAACTCTTTGATCACCCCTCGTAGTCGGGCTTCGTCCGACGCGACCCTCTCCCTTTTTTTTCCCGCGATCATTCGCGGACGCCTCCGCCGTTTTCTGCCGTTCGCTGGCGGGCTTCGTCGCGCGGTTGGGATGCGCCGGAGCGAATCGTCGAACGTCGGATCGAGATGTTCATTTCCTTGCATGCGTGGCCCTCGGAAGACTCATTCGATTGCGTGCCGACGTGGTGTCGGCAGGAGAAGGAGCACTGTTTTCAATCGCGAGGAGAGAAATTCATGGAACGAGGATCGCGTGTCCGAGGGAGACCGCGTCGGCCGAGGGGGACGTGTCCCGGTCGGGATACCTCCAGACAACAGAAGGATTCCTGCCTTCTGGTCTCCGTGCCGGTCACGTCCTCCGTGCCGGCTGCACCCATTCCGATGGCTCCCCGATTCCCCTATGCTCGTTCGGGTGTGTTTCCGCTCGTTATCCTTTTCGTTCCGTCTGTGGGTCTCGTTTCTGCCCTGCTGCTGGAATGTGGAAATGGCTTCGGGCGAGCAGACGGAGATGAAAAATTTCGAATCTCGTACTGTGAGTTTCGGATTGAACGTTTTCGGCAGCTTCTTCTCGATCGGATTGATCGGAGGCAAGCGTACCGTGCCGTATATCTGCGAGTTTTGCCGTAAGAATGGGGGAAATAACCACTGAGGAATGAGAACCAGTCGAGTTTGATGAAGCCAGATGAACTCGCGGTTCTTAATGTACGAGGGGTGATCAAAGAGTTCCGGGACTGAATTTTTTAAATGATGTTTTGGTGACTCTTTCCGACTGCTGATGGTTATATCCTTCGTACCGGTCCTCTTTGGCGTTTACACGCGATTTCCGATGCTTCTTCAGTCGCTGGGAACATTGTTGACACTTATCTTTTGGAATCACCGGCAGTGCTCGCGTCGTGTTTACAATTTTGCTTTGAATGCCTTCGTTTCAGCAAACTCTTTAGCTTAGGGAACAAGAAGAAATTACTGGGAGCTAAGTCCGGTGAGTTGGATGGCTTATGAAGCACGGGGATCGGCAGGTGGGGCAGACGTGGGGCAGAAAGCGCTGAGACTGAAAAAGGAAGGAAATTTCAGGGCATCGAAAGCAGCGTTACGAGCGCTGCTGGTGACTCCGAGGGACGAGGGTGGGCGATGATTCCAGCGGCTGAAGAAACATGGAAAAATTTGTGTAGGTGTCGAGGTGGACTGGTTTGAAGGGTAGTCAGTGGGCGGAAAGAGTCGCCACGGCGTCGTGAAAAATTCAGTCCCGGAACTTTTAAATCTTTCCTCGTGGATTAGATTTCTTACGCTTTAGCCGTAGACCCCGTCCAAATGAATCGCAGATGGAGTTGATGAGAAACGCATGGGACAAAAATAGGGGGGGGGGGGGGGGGGGGGGGGGGGGGTGGGGAAGTCAGGCGACGATGGCGATCGAAACCCAAAAAACCATCGAGCTTAGAGGTCCTGGGACGTTTGTTTCTGAGAGTTGGCAGGTTGGGGATCCTGGAGGTAGGTAGGCCAGAACTAGTACTAGGAGTGCAGCGGGAGGTAGCGCTCTAGAATGGAGGCGGTAACGAGGGTTGGACGATTGCGTTTTGGGGGGGGTCGCCTTCTTGCATTTCGTACTTTTATATAGTGGTTCGTCGTATGCTGGGTTTGTGCGTGAATTGAGCCGAAATGGCAAGTAGAGGATGGGGGGGATCCGAGTTGTGAGGCCCGAGTCGTCCCGTGAGAGGCGCCCAGAGGCCGCGATTTTTCGAACGAGAGGGCCGAATTCGGTGTTCCTCTGGGTGGTTGTCGACGACGGAGTTCTCTTAAGGAATGCGAAGGCAGCTGCGGTGGTTTCTGGCGTCATCGCGATTCGCGAGGGCGTTGCTTTGAGAGTCGTTCCGTGGGGGATGGGATGGCTCTCCGAATTCTTTCGAGCACCTGCTTCGACAGTAATCTCTCGACCTGGTCGGCAGTCTGGTAGCACTTTACTCCTGGGGTCGTGCGTACTCATGCCTGTTTATGTCGTGGGCATCGTTGTTGGAAACTCGGACCGACCGGTTGGATGGTTCGAGGACGAAATGACGTGTCGCACCCGAACGCTGTCGCCGAAACAGCCCAGGTTGAACGACTGCGGTCCGGTAAGTGACGTATGCGCGACCCTAAAGGTTGTCCAGGACTTCAGAGCATGCGGAAATCATGAGTGAGGTAAAACATGGATTCGGGTTTGAGTTGACCCGCAAGGTCGTCAGATTCCACTCTGCAAATCGATTGGTTTATTTGCAGAAGGGGCTGTCATCCGCCGTGCATCTCGCCCATGCTGACGTTAGGAACTTCGGTAACTGCTACAAGCAGCGGCGTATCGTCGGGGGGAGGGGGGGAGGGGGCAAGGGGGCACGTGTCCCCCCCCCCCCCGCTTTTCAAGAAAGAAGGAAATGAAAAAAGGAAAACATCCCTGAAATGCATAACAGTGGTCCAGAGTTCTCGTGTCCCACTACTTCTTCCATCCACGTTACGCTTATGGTTACATCAACCAACCGCGTTATGCTTATGGTTAATACACGTCCTGACTCGAAGAGGTTATCGGTTGCTGGAGAAGGGTAACGCCAAAAATGAGTTCTTTCGATTCGGGGACTCTCCCGGCTGGGCGGTATGCACCATCTAGCGGTGAGAAGGGAAAGGTCTCGGTGGTTCCCCCCCTCTTCCATGCACAGAGTGTTCTGTGGTTGTTTTGGTCATTTTGGAGGGACCTCATCCTTTTTTTTTTATCGGTTGTTGCAGAAGGGGACGAAGGCACCCCAGGCAGCCGGGAAGATCCATACGGACTTCGAGAAGGGTTTCATCATGGCCGAGGTGATGAAATACGAGGATTTCAAGGAATACGGCTCAGAACCTGCTGTGAAGGTGAGATTCTCTTCCACTTAATAATTTTATCTGCTCTCCCTCGAGGTCTGAACCCGGTTTCACCGTTTCGTTTTGGACCAGGCTGCCGGGAAGTACAGACAGCAGGGGAGGAACTACACCGTAGACGACGGAGACATAATCTATTTCAAGTTCAACGCGGGAGCTGGCTTGCAGGGGAAAAAGAAGTGAACGAAAGAATGCAGAAGCGAGTGAGAAGCGAAGGCGTTTTTGTCTCTCAATGTAACTTGACCCTCGAATCGTGTAATAAATTGCTTTGAATTGAGTGTTACACTAACACTCCGGGCCAAGATATCCGTGTCGATGGGATTGTGAGATTGCTGGGTGAATGCCTCGTCTCTACAATCTCGAGCATGACTCATTCCATCCCCTTGTGCTTGGAGAGCAAAGGTCTTCATGGCCACTAAAGAATTTCAATTGGAATTCCGTCCTGCCTCAAGATATTGGTATATGGTGTTCGTAACATTCCTGGTTAACACTAAAAACATAACACTAAAAAGAAAGGGTGCCAAGGATGCTAGTAGAGAAAAAATAAGCCAAATTGATCCTCTGCGTCCTTTCGCACAAAGTGAATCAATTTCTTTTTTGTCTCTTCAATTTCTTTTACCGAATACAATATAGCAGCATCCTAGAGATGAAACACCAGGAAATGGGGGCTTTGAAATAATATGATTGAAAGCCCCAGTCAGCAAGTGTGAGGCACTTTTCCATCACTTTCAAGGAAGAAGACTGGTTTATTGCAAATCGGTATTGCAGCCATGGAATCGTTGCACACAAAATACAGAACACTGCATTTGAAAATGAACATGGGCATGAAATCCTTTTCACATCCTTTCAGGCACTTGAGAGACCTCAAGATTGACATTTAAATAAAATCAGGCAGTGAATAAAACTTCCATTGAAAAAATAAACTCCCTCACACACCACATAATTCAGACTCAACTCCCTTCACTGAGATATTTCACTGGATTTGTACTTACTTCACAAATCCATGCACTGGTAAAAGTACTGGTACCTGTATTTACAGAAGTTCTGTAAAGCCAGGATATGGGGAATATTCGAAGTCAAGTAAAAAATAGACAAGAACCTCAGAAAACATTTCTGGGGGGAAAACAAATGCTATCCTGTTTCTGGATAGCGAATGCCAAAAGGTGGCTATCACTGGAAAATTACAACCTGCATAAATAAATAAATAGTCATAAATTACTTTCATGTACTCAGCAGACCTTTTGCACCAATGGAAAGTATAATCACACCACTTGAGAACCTCGGTAGGCAATCTGAACATGCCACTGATGAAGCGAAGAAGCACGTTACTGGAAATCCAGCAAAACCAATTCCTGAGGAATTATTATGCTCTCAGAAATATAACACTAACTGTACCAAAGTGCTTTACAAGCCATTCAAAATGTCATGCATGCAGAAAATTAAAGTGCTTCCCTTGCAGAAGGGTTTCTGGGAAGATGGCAAGAAAAGAATTACTGGGATCAACAGCCATACACAAATGAGGCAAACTGCTTTGGGTGGATTGCATGAGCATTTCACTTTGAACCTTTTGGATATTTGAATGAGATTGAACTTCAAGCCAAAGGAACAGCAAGATCATCCTTCCCCTTGGGCACGTAGAAGGTGACACACGTGTGCTCCCAGATTTCATGTGGATAGTCTTCAATCGTACCCCACTTGTTGTTCTCCAAGTCGTAGAACTCCACTGCACCTGAAAAACATCACGATGCAGATAAGTGATGCAACGTTCAAACACATTCCAATTCTGTAGCCTAAGGTACAAAATCATTACCTGATGCCCTGTCAAAGATTGCATCACTGTGGAAACCTCCAGTCATGTAAATTTTACCATCTAGGATGGTAATGCCCGAGTGATACCTAGGTGTAGGGACACGTGTGACGACCTCCCAGGTGTCAGTAGCTATGTCGTAAGCATCGATGGTGCTCAGAACGGTTCGGCTTCCAGACGTTTCCTCTTCGTACCATCCGCCGCAGACAAAGAGCTTGTTCTTGTACACTTCCATGGAATGGTCAGCTCGAGGGGACAGCATGGAAGTTTTGGCTTCCCACCGGTCTTCGAGAGAATCGTAACGAAGGAGACTTGCACACGGAATGTCACCATCTAAACCTCCGCTGACAAATAGGAAATGCTTCCAAGCAGCGCCAGCATGTTGGGTGCGATGCCCAGGTAGAGCAGCCACAAGACTCCATGAATCTGCCTTGGGGTTGTACTTCTCACAGCGTGCAGTTTCTTCCAAGAGCGTATCACCGCTCTCACTCACTCCTCCAACAGCATAGATTTCACCTCTCAGGACCGACAACGAGAATCTGCAACGTTCTCGGAGCATGGGAGCAATAGTTGACCACTTGTCATACCTTGGATCATATCGGAAGCCAAAGGGATGTATGTTTTCATGTAGGATTTGATTGAAGCACCCTCCTATCACGTAGAGTTCATTGTCCAGACAAGCTGTTCCATAATTGCACTGATCAACATGGGGAATGGTTGTAAGATGATACCAGGCTCTTGCTGAGGGCATATAATAAGAAATAGCATTTGTGACCCCATTGACATTGAAGCCACCCACTACAATGATAGAAGATTCCATGCCACGGGTGCTGACCAGTCCAGTGTAAGATTCTGGCTGGTCTACTGGAAGGCAGCTGCACTTGTATGCCAAATCCTCCCATACTTGGGGGGCAAGACACACAAGTTCTCGGAATGAAGAGGAATTCAGAAGGAGTTGCAGATCAAACAGCAGAATTTCTTGGAGACGAACATGAGACAGCAAGAGAGAAGCATACTGAAGACGTTTCCCGGGATCGTACCGGATCCAGTCCATCACGATGGCCAAAATGTCAGTCTCTGAGCAATCGACAGGGAATTCAGCATTCAGCAGGCAGTCAACTTGTGTGAATGTGAGGCGCTGATAGTCAGGCATCTGAGAAAATTTAGATAAATTGTTACATATAAACCGGTAGACAACTTTCTTCAAGTGGCTCAGAGAGTATGTTTCAGCTATGGTTGCCACATCCACACAGTTCTCCAGATCCAGATGATCCTGAAAATTAGCATTCAAAACATAATGAGCATTCAAAATGCCCACATGGGATAGTGCTAATACAGCACAAGTGAGATGGGAAACTCACCTCTAGGTAAGTCGAGCATGCATCAACAACAGTAAAAACTTGAACATGACTAGCAGCACCAAGGACATCCATAATATTTGCCAATGTCAACAAGAGCCTGGATGTGTAAGCATACTCCAAGACACTTTCCAATCCATCAGCAGTAATGCCATTGAGATATATCTTGTTTTGTTTGCTCTCTTTCATCTCATTGGTGAACATGGCTTCAAAGTACTCACTGCATGAGGCTAGCACAACTTTATGGGCCTGGAAAAAACAAGAAATGGAGAAGGAAGCAACATCAAAACAAGTCATTATACCTGCAACTCAAACAGCATGTAAAATTATGCGAAATTCAACTCACAGGAAACTCCCGTCCTTCAACAACAAAGGTAACATCAACCAATTTTTTCCTGTTTCGCAGAATGTTGAGCCCATTCAGAATGTTTCCTTCATGATTTTGGGACACAAACTCATACTGTTTCATCTTGTCATTCATCATTGCATTTCTATCCCCAGGCATTAAGGCTCTCAGACATGTACTCATGTTGAAATCAATGAGATGCTAAGAGCCACTGCTAGGACAAGGCTACAGATGGCAAAAGAAGCTCTTTCAAATCACAGGAGGGTATACAAGAGATGTGCCACAGGTTGACAGCAAGCTCTAGGGCGTTTGGGCCTATCCAGAATGGAAATTGAGCCATTCAATCAGGTGCATGAGGTAAGTCAATTCACCAGTGCTCCTCTAGAGAAGAGAAAATGTCATCAGCATTAACTCATGGTACTGCTCAAACTCATTCCAATCAAGGCCTACAAAATACAAAAGGACCTAGTCTATAAATACAAGGGGTAATGGGTCCATTTCAGGCCTACAGGGGTCTTAGGGACAACAGGCAATATCTACTTACTCCTGACTCAACAGGAGTTAAAATGTAAAAGTTCACATGGCAGGGGGAAGGTCTACAATCAATATATAAAAAATAACATATAGTCAAACTCAGATAAAACATCATTAAAGAGACAAGGAAAAATAGTAGTTTTAGCCTAACTTCATTATAAATGGGATTGCTTTATTTTCTACTTTTCTGAACATTGAAAATTTTCAAATGTCAGCAATTTCTCCAAATTGTGGAATTACAAGAGCTTATAAATCCACTTTTTTAAAATTACTATTACTTGCTTTGCCATGCCTATTTGGTATCAAATAAATGTTTAATTCCTGCTTTATCACAAGGACTACTTTTCACTGACATCGTCTACAAGAACTTTTAATAGCTTCTGAAGACTTGGATCAAGATCTTTCGGAGACAAGGGATTTTCCTTCAATCACCCTCCTCCAGTCTTTCATTGTACACAAATGCAACAATCCAGGAATACAGATTTAAAAAATAATGATAAAAAACAGCAAAAGGGAGAGGTTGCATATTGTCAAAAATTCCCTTCTATGGAATATCCAGTCAATAGGGAACATGAAAAATTAAGAACTTCACCACATTGGCAGTTTTCACAGTGGGACAAAGATATGAATTATTTTTTGTCTTCTTCAAGTTTGCCATTTTCTGGGTATATATGTACTTATTATATGGGCTTTAGATCAGGACCAGGCGTCATTCATCACTATTATGACCAAGGCCTTATTATACCCGAGTTCGACTTAATCAAGTTAATCCAGATTCACTCTAGCCTGATGCAAGAGTTAGCCTAAGAACTTTCCCATTAAAAAATCGGGGAAGTTGCAGGATATTCAATAACAACCACTAATGAAATGTTGCAGCTATCTTAGGCCTAGTACAACCTCGAGGAGTCCAATCTGCCTAGCGACAGAATATGTGAACCTGTACAGCACAACCATCTCGTACAAAGGCACTCATTCCACGGAAGTGGGTGACCTTAACCTCAAATAAATTGGGGCTAATGAAAAATCCTCGATGAATTAGCATAATTTTGCTGATGGTTTGGACCTCATTCAAACTTCTCCTGAGCCCCCTTAAATATCTGAACTCCTAATTTCTCCGCAAGAGAGACATATAGGACCAAAACAACTCTTGACCCCCCACACTGACCTATGCTCCAGAAATGTTTCGAGATCAACCTGGAATCCATTTTGTTACGTCATAGAGCGCATGATCAAATATGTCTGCTCACGAGGTAGAGTACCATGTGGTTCTTGTTGAAAGTATGAATGACTGGATACCTTTGTTTTCTGCCAATGACAGGAAAAGTGAACATGGAAAAAGTAGGAAATATCACAGGAAGAAACTAAGGTGCTCAATCGGAGTAAAACAATAGAGCTAGATTCTAGTAAAGCGGTGGAGGAGAGGGGGAGATAATATAAGGTTAACCTGTAAGAAGGAATGATTACTTAGGGGGGAGACACATCAATATTAACATGTTTAAAGGGTTTATTTTAGCGTTTCAAAAGAACCTTAAGGTTTCCAGTCTGTCCAGCTTAGAATGATAACTGCTGAACATGGCTATTGATTTCATATATAATATCTTGTTTCTGGGAGACATTGCTTTTATTTTTTCTTGAAGTGTTTCTCCAATGGAAATTTTATATTTTTTTTTTGCAAGAAATTACCATAGCCAAAGTGGCAATTAGCGTTTTCTTGGAAATGGATGGTTTATAATTCTCCTGGTTCTACAACTGCTGTATACTTTGAATCCACTGAAAATTATTCAAAATATATTAATTTTCTGACCCTTTGGCTGTTGTATTGAAAAGCATTACAAGAAAGAGTTTTAAAAAATCAAGTGTGAGAATCAAGGATAATTATGCACGATTTGAAGCAGTATTGGTTTGGATATTTTCTGGTACTTACCTAGCACTGACACATTAACGTACCCATTCTGTAAATATGAAATTGAAGTGACCCATACCCCAGATGTCACACACATGCATACAGTCTTGTCCTGTCTACTGCATGCTTCTGTACTCTCATTAATACTGGCTTTCAATAGCAAGATGGGTTGTTCTACATAAGTTTATACTGAACCTAGCTCCAAGTTGTATGTCCATCATATAACTCTACTTGAAGACCAATTTTGAGCTCATAAATGAGGTCATATTACATTTCAAGGTAGGTCAAACAGATTGACCTAGTGTGGAAAAGGAGATTTGAAATCATGGTGTCAAGATTAGATAGCATCTGCCCTATGACTGATATTGCTGGAAGGGCACAAAGTCAGGCCAACATTGAAGTGGATATCTTCCTACGGGTTACCAACTATGAAGAGACTCTCCGCCAGTTGGATATGTATTATGGAATCAGTAAGTAATGAAATGCATCCAATGATTCCCTGTATTCTCCAACAGAAAGTGCTAAATCAAATAGGAAAAGTTCAGGCATCAGGTTGGTGCTATTCATCCAGCACCTGCTTTAGGTGCTAGGTTGACTGGGATGTCTCAAGGTTTCCCAAAAATTTTTTCCCCAATCAGCGCCTGAACATTTCCCACATATGTAACCCTAGGTCTGCAGGCATACCAGTACATTTTGACCAAGGTCTGTGTTACTTTCTCCATTTAGTCAAGCGCAAGATCCTGGCTTACCAGAGTATCACTTTGGGAATTTTCCCTTCCTTCTCTGAGGAAACAGACATAGGAGATGTTCGCACCAGCATCAATTGTGCCAAAGCTATATGGAGTCTGTTTCAGGCATATAGGTGAGTTTATTATTCACTTTCAATTTCCTAGCTGATTGATATTTAAAGAAGGTGTAGAGTGCTTTTCCATTGTTCATTAACCAGTTAGGAAGGAGTCCATACTGGTATGTGTGCAGTGGACAACAAATTTGGAATTCATCTAAGTGTCAAATTTATTTGAAATACAGAATTTCTTAGATTTCTGAATCCTTGAACACATAATGGAACTTTATTTGGTGATTTATTTAAAATGAAATGATGCTTGTATTTAGGTATGGGTTGGTACCAGTGATTGATTATCTATCTTGGTCTATTTTGATTTTCTATCTTGAAATGATATCTTTGGAGTAGACCTAATTGTATTATACAGTCAACTCTGCTTACTGGAATACTCATGGGACCAGCAAACTTTATTCCATAATCTGGAGTATTCCAATAACCTAAACTATCTGCTGTATTATACCCTAAATCAAGAACCTTGCAATGGTATTCCATAATGCAGAGCCACCTATAGGATTTCATTCCTATGGTTTTGTCTAGCATCGTATTTGCAAGGTGTGGCAGCAATAGCATCTCGTAAATAGGCTTCTTAAGCTCATGTTCCATCACCTTCCTTTTCACATTTTTGTATTCCACAGGCGAATCGATGATGACCGAGGACGTTCTTATGAACTGAGTCAGTCAGCCATCAAGTGTATGAGAGGTATTCTGCAGTGTTGGCTTAGGCAGGCTTCCAGAATAGAAAAGTTTAAGGAGCTCCAATGTCACCAGAATGCCCTTCATATTAAATTCCATCTTGAAACTGGTGAAGAGGTGATCAGTGAGCAAAACTATGGACACCTGCAGGCAAGTTGCTCGAATGTTTGGATTTCTTTTATGGAGAAGGCAGGATCTCAATGATGCAAAGCAGAAAGTTATAGCCAGGTTAATGGTGGAGTATCCTACTTTTCAGTCAATACTAAAGATGGGTTGGGGTATTACCAGGATTTTAATTGCTAATTGCTTTAAATTGCAAAACTCTTTGCTCTAAAGGTTCACATCTTAATTCCATAGCATATTGTTGTACCTGTGCAAAATTAATGGTGATGGTGAGAAATGAGGCAATTTTTCTCTTAAATTCTCTTGATTATAATATAAATAGAATAAAATGATAATATAATGTTGTTTTGAAGCAGGAGAATTTTGTTTGACATCTTTAATCTGGAGGTGATGTTATTGTGTCAACTGAACCTGTCCCTCCTTTCATTTGATGACTCATGCTTTTGTTTTTCTTCCAGATTGATGTCATTTCCCTGTATTTGATAACTTTGACTCAGATGATCAATTCAGGGCTTCAGATCATTTACACAATGGACGAAGTGAACTTCATTCAGAATTTGGTGTACTATGTGGAAAGAGCCTATCGAACTCCTGATTTTGGGATGTGGGAACGAGGAAGCAAGTATAACAATGGGACCCCTGAAATGCATGCCAGGTACAGTGTATGGGCTCTGATGAAGGATTTCCCCTTTGTTTAAGCTTATTGCATGCTGTTTTTATTCCCATGCACAACATGGCAATATGCAAGGAGGCATTTTTGAGTCACCTTTGATCTTTGCTCACTTGCTTGCAAAGCACTTTTGAAAGCCTCATTTTTCACACCTTTTGCTTTTATAGTGATGAATGAAGTTTAGCCACAAGGAATAGAGCTTTAATTTCCACATTGATATCCTCTTGTCACTGGGTTTGAATGTGCTGATTTTGAGACGATTGGTCCATCATCCATCAGGATTGAACAAGGTAATGGCACGAAAAATTTTCCATGTGTCTAGATTAAAGTGGCATTTGTAGTAGTAATAGCAGTGTGCATGAAGGAGATGGTTAAAAATGCCTTTCCAAAAGTAATTTGATGCATTGTTTCATGTACCCTGAAAGAAAGGAAGAGAGGGAAGAAAATGTGAAAATGATGAAAAGAACTCTGCCTAGATGGAACTCTGTGACTGTCACTCTGGGGTTCATGTATAGCATCTTCAAAAACATGACACGAGGGGCATGTAATGAATTGAACATGGTGGTCTAGAATCCTGATGTCTTTGTCTGGACTGGATGCTGCTTCAAAGGGTAGGGGTGGACAAGTAAAATATCTGCAAGGAATGATCTGATTCCACATGCCAATATTACTTTCCTTTTGTCCCTTTGTTCCCAGTGACATTGGTGCTTCCATTGGATAGGCATGCATATTGTAGTTCAAAAACTTTTAATCGTCAATTGCATTACAAACAGTGAAGTTTTGGTTCTCTGATATATAACCTGTGAAAAATGCTTAAGAGTGACTGCCTTGCCATTAGGTCTTGTTCCTCATACTTTCCATTCTTTAATTAAGCTCATTTCTTCTGTTTCCAAACCAGCAATCAAGAGATGTCTAGCCTTCATGCATATGCCCATTGTTGACAGGGCCTCTGCTGAGACTATATAAGTGACAGTTTAACAATATGGCAACATTGTGCTATTTGAAATTGGGAGTCCTTCACTTTGTATTATTAAAACTCTGTGATAAATGCTTTTTGCTTGTTTCTCTACCAAGAAAAGTCTTTCTTGTCAGAGAGAAGCAATGAAAGAAGTTTGTAAAATGGGGTTTAGTAAAGCATGGTCTTTCTTGTTCCTTTTTTTACTTATCCATGAGCAATCACAAATATAGAACACTTGTGCTTGACCTTTGATACACAGACCAAGGCAGACAGAATTCTTGACTGCAAGCATTGATTTCTTTGGGGCCAGGTCTGCTGTCATCTTTTTCCTTCCCTTTCACTTTTCTCACTCTTCTCTCCTCATCTCTAAAAATCTGAATGCACCAAACAACTTTTGGAAAGGTATTAATGTGTCTTGCATTGAGGTAAAAATAATTTTCAGGGATCAAGGTTGAGTTGGAAAATCCATACATGCCTGTAAGATTGACCTGCACAACAAGCACTTAGACTCCTCCCATTCTTTTGCTTTACTTTGATTGCTTCCATGAAGATCTTATTGAAATTTTCTTCAATATTTATTATTTGATTCTACAGTTCAATTGGGATGGCAAAATCAGCTCTCGAGGCAATCAATGGCCTGAACCTCTTTGGAGAGAGGGGAGCTTCTTGGTCTGTCATATATGTGGATATAGATGCTCACAATAGGAATAGGAGCATATTTGAAGCCCTCCTTCCCAGAGAGTCTAGCTCCAAGGTGAGTGCATTCATTGTATAAATTGTCTTTCTTTTCATTTCTCTGTTGCATATTGGTTTGCTTGAGAGAAGTTGGAGGATGATCTCAAAGGAAAATGAAAGTAAACCTGGAATTTTAAACTATTCTAGTCTTTTAGAGAAGTTTGGGAACAAAATATGACCCTCTCCCTCCTCCTTTCAACTCTGCTGGTATGTATTTTTTTCTGGGCATGACCTTTATATTTTTTTTTTTAACACCCTACTGGGTGATGCATACCACACACTAGTGAATATGACTGTTACTGGGACCACCCAGAGTCACTTTGACCCCTGTGATTATTACCCTACTTTTTTAGTATGACAATTGTTTTGTTCTTCTGTTTCAGAACACAGATGCTTCCCTCCTGACAACAATTTCATATCCAGCCTTTGCAACACATGATGATGCCATCTATGTGCAGACTAAAGGCAAAGTGATTGCAAAGTTGAAAGGTGAATATGGCTTCAAACGATTCTTACGAGATGGTTATGGAACTGTTGTTGAAGATCCCTGCAGGAGATTCTATTATAAAGGAGAAACTAAAGTAGGCCATGCTGAAAAAGATTTTGACTAATCATGAATTTCAAAAGGTATTGATGATAATTTTGAACTTCAGGAATTCGAGAACATCGAAAGTGAGTGGCCCTTGTTCTTTGCATACCTCGTCATTGACGGTATATTCAAAGGAGACCAGGAGCAGGTCAAAGATTACCAGAAGCTCTTGAAGAAGAGGGTGCGACGAGACAAGTATGGTGGTAAGGTCCCTTCTCCATTCACTTCCCTTTACCTTCAGCCCTCTATCTCAATAGTTATCAACCAGTAGGTCAGTGGGAACTTCTTGAAGGTGGACCATGATAAGGTCAAAAAAATAAAAAGCAAATGACTAAAAAATGAAGAAAGCTATGTACTCACTTAAATCAGTAGTGCCCAGCTGAAGTCTCCAGGCAAAAATGTTTTCATTGTTTGCTTTCAAGTCATGCACATATATTATTACTAGCCATTCCAGAGCTTGCATGAAGCTGGTAGTGATTATAAAGGTGGAAATAAATAGGTTACACAAAGATAGAAAGCAGACTCGGCAGGTTATGGCTTGAAAACTTGAGGACTATTGTTCTAGATGTCTTCTTGCATGAACTTTAGTTGAGTTCATATGATAAAAAGTAAAAATTTGGATGGAGTGAATTGCCAAATATGCCATATGGCTTTCTTAATATTAGAAATGAGAAAATTCAGTGCTCCCTTCATATATTGAGAGACTGGTTGTGTTATATGCTGCAAGCAAGGATTATGGAGATCATCCAACTGGAGAAAAGTTTTTATACATAACATGGTTATAAGGTACATAATAGCTTATGGTTATAGATCATGCCAGGTTTCAAAATGGTCTCTAGGCATCCCTCTGTTGATTTCCATGACTTTACTCATAGTGATGTAAAAGGAAATGATGAAATAATGATGATATCTTGTTTTAGATCCTTTGATCCCTCAATACTACTTTGTGCCTGTGGACTCTGTATCCTACGAGAAGCAAGATCCAGGGTCTCAGCCTCGTGTTGCATCCAAGAAAGGTTCCTCCAGTAGCAATGTCTTCCTTTGGGGAACATCAGTTTACATCATCTCCCAGCTTCTAGTTGAGGGTCTTTTACATGTGAATGAGATCGATCCCATCCGCAGATATCTTCCTTCCTACACTCGTCCTAGAAGGACGGGTCGATACTCTGCTTTTCAGGTATTCAATTCCCTCACAATTCCAGAAATTTATTTTAGGTAATGTGCTTTGTTCTTTGGGATTTGGGATCTTTGCCTCATTCCAATACTAACTATGGTGAAGGAGTATAACATTTGACTTCATTCAGGAGTGGAATTGCATCTGCATTTTGCTCAACCCTGGTGTCTTCAAATTTAACCTGGAATGTATCTGAGATGAAAGTAGGGCTAATCCACAAAGTCTGATACCTCCCATACATTGTGTCTAGTGCTGAGAAGAATGTTGAAAACTAGTTGACTTTGGTGGCATTGTTATAAAAATCAGGTGCTAAAACTTCCTACAAAAAGGCAGAAAGGGAAGAAAAAAAGATGGAGCAGTTTCAGATGTGGAAGGGCAAGCAGGAGAGCTGAGAATGAGTTTTAGCCTCCTTTCTGAGACTGATGCTGTCAAAAATGCAGACAAGAAGCAAATCTTGGCTGTGGACCAAGAATTTACTAAGATGAAAGTTACTTTGAAAAGTATAGTTATTCATCATTTGGCTAGGTACATCAATGAAAGGGTGTGAAGGTTGGCCATCTGAAGGCTTATATCCAAGTGCTACTCATGACCATTAGGACAATAAAAGAAAAAGGTGGGTGAGATTAGATGTAAAACTAAAAGTTTTTCTGCCCAATTTCTTTGAAGTCTATGATGAGTCATTAGGATCCATTGGGATCATGGAGATAGATATCTAAGTTCATGAGTTCTAAAATCAGAATTATTTTTTAAATCTTGATTTGACACAACCTTTTTAGTTATTGTTCTTATCTCAGCTAAAACATATTGTAGCAAAATGTCATTAGATGAGTTCTATTATTTTATTGATGAAAATATGATATTATTACCTTCAGCATCGGTAATAATATAATATTTTCATCAATAAAATAATAGAACTCATCTATATAGAATAATAGAACCCAGAAGCATTATAGCATTTGAGACATATGTGTGTCCATTTTCCCAGTCTTCTGCCTCACCATTAGATGTTTTAAAATTGCTACTTTTTGGCATAGGATCTGGTCTCCATGGCAGACCAGTCTCCCATAATGAGCCAGAGTGGGCTTCATTTTGGGTGAAAAAGAGGTAAAACAAGTTCTATCCATAGTATCTATGGGATGTAGTTGTGGATGCTAGATGCATATCCACTCTTCCTGTTGTTTCTGCTTTCCTTAGTTCCACAGCCAAACCAGGTGGGGCAGTTTGCATTTAAGCCTATTTCTATTTCCACCTGGTTTATTACTTTTGTGTTTGAAGAGACAGCTTTCAGTTTCATAGGCATGTAACTTTGTCTGTGTCCTGAATCACAATCCTCTCTTTTGAGCCTGCTTTGACCTCTTCTCCACGAAGAATGACATTAAATAAGGTCAAGTCAAGTAGTATATATGGAACAAGTAAAGAAACAGTCAGTAGCAGCTGAGGTGTGGGATCAGCTTCCAAAATTTAGATTGATATCACCCTTAAAGTAATTGCCTACTGGGGATGATGATGGCTGAAACATTAATGGAGATTTTGCTTAATAGCACTGGAGATGAAGTTTATTTGAACCGGTTGAGTCACTTCCCTTGCAATATCATTTCATAGTTCATATATAGCCTCCCGATTTGAGTGATCTTACTTTCTTTAGTTTTTATTATTGGTTCTCTGTCTCTGTGACAGCAACAAGAACAGACCATTTCAGAAACAGAACATATCATGTCCTGTTTAGTCTCCATTACACCCATGGGTGCAGTGGTATGCATACATTTATATCCTAGGTATCTAAGATTTGTTGAAGCTTGGATTTCATTCAAAGGAGAACATAAGCCTACCTTGGAAGTTCCCCAGCATCAGTATTGATCATGCATTTTGTTTTGCGTTGTGTCACGCTTAGGTTCCTGGTCTGCATCTTTCATTTGTAAGACCTGGCATATCCTTGAGCATGGTTCTTGCTACTATGCATTTGCTTCAAAATAAATGGAATCATTATCAGTACTCAATTTCTTGTGCTGGTTATGGTTCCTTGATGCAAGGAACGCATATTCCTTAATGGTTCATCTTATTTCATTGGAAAATTTGCCAGGAATGATATCAGTACTGCTTGCCTCATCCTTTGCAATTTGCCAGTGCAACAATTCCCAAACTGGGGGCCATTCATCTGGACAGGACTCAAGACATTGGCAAGGCTTTTCAGGAATGATGAAAGAAGGTCCTAATGCTTCATAATAAAACTGCAGCTCAATGACTCTAGTTACCTCTTCATCCTTGCAAGTTTTCTCATGTATATTATTTGGTAACTCCTGCACATGCCTCCATTTTTTACCTCCCTGTACAAGCTCAGTTGATTTTTTTTTATAGTTCTACACATAACACAAGTAAAGGCTCTTGAGTAGAGTCTGAGGTAATGTCTAGTTTTTTGGAACACATTAGGGAAACACTTAAAATTAGCTCTTTCAGTTGCTATTCCTAGGCATTGTGTGACATCATGACTCTTTCTGTGCTTAAAAATACTAATGTCTTTTATTTAATTTTGTACAAGTCCTTTAATGGCTAATTGGGTCATATTCTCTTAATTTGATTTTTAAAATGCACTAGTCTTCATTCAGTTAGGAAGTTCCTTGTATCCCCTCATAACATGTGATATCCTTTTTTTTTTCTCACGAAGTGGAAGTATCGTTATCAAGTGAGTTGCTCTTCCCTATATCTGCCTTCCACTATTTGAATGCACTCATCCCTATTTTTCAGCAAGATTATGACACCCATCTCTCAGCTGCCATGCTTTGCATGCTTTTTGGGTCTCTTTGTCCAAGGTAAAGCCTTCGCATTGCCAAGAGCAGATCATGAATGCTGAATTTTGCTGAAGACATTTTTATTGGGTCTCTACTCCTGGAGCCATTTGAAGAAAATCGAACAATATTCAATTCCAACAGTAAAAAAAAGCAAAATACAGGCTTTCAGAGCTTGTAAGATCGTGCTTGTGTTCACTCAAATATGCTGCATCTTAGGTAGGTTAAGGCATGGGCGATATTCGCATGCTTGTTTTAAAAATGATGGCTTTCTTGTGACACACAGTATGACATTATGCCATGATAGAGCTGACACTCCAGTGTGGGGTATATTGAATCAATGAAATTATGCAAAAATATTATGAAGAAAAATATATTGATGTAGTATATATGGATTAGACTAGGAATTTAAATCCACTCATTAATTTGAAGTTGAGTGTACATTTTGAAGTGCATTCTTGTATTGTATTATTGTGCATTCTTGTAAGTATTCTTGTGGATAATGAGGGTAATTCAAAAGTTTCAGGTTTTCCTATTTTATAAATGATTTGCTCTGGTGGAAAGCAGAAGCATGCTTAGCAATTAAATTCTTCCATGAATATCATGATTCTTTCTGGATCACTAGTCTGAGCAATGAGCTGAAGTTGGGGTAACTTGGTGATCTTAATTTTTTATTTGGTGGAAGTTATTGAAACACTCATGCCCATCCAGATACTGAAAAATGGTGTTTGCTAAGCTGAATGCATTTGTTCTTTCTATCTTAAGCACAATTTAGAAACTGCTTTTGTGTTCATTTTTGCCAAATTTTTATAGTCCTATTCCCTCTGGCACACAGGGAACAGCAAGTGATCTCGTCGTTCAGGTGGTCCTCATTGCCGAGTCCATGCGTCTCCAAGCCATGATGGCCACTTACGGCATTCAGACTCAAACACCCCATGAAGTGGAACCTGTCCAAATCTGGCCCCCTAGTGAGCTGATCAAGATTTACAAGTACCTTGGAATTTCCAAAAAGTTAGGTCTGGATGGACGTCCCGCAAGACCCATTGGAGCCTTGGGTACCAGCAAGGTGAATATATACACCACATCATTCTTCATCTTTCATTCCTAGAATCTGATCTTGGTTTCAGCGGCAATGATCTTTTCCAGATTTATCGGATCTGCGGGCAGACCGTTCTCTGCTATCCTCTCATCTTCGAAGTGTCTGACTTTTACTTGTCCCACGACATGGCCCTTCTCATTGATGACATCCGCACAGAATTGCAGTTTGTTGGCAGGCATTGGCGCTTGACAGGCCGACCCACCATCTGTCTCCTCATTCGGGAAGAGCACATGAGGTCTGCATTCTTAATACCCATGGTCCTCTCTGGTTGGCAGTGATGTGTGACTGTTCTGCCCTGAAAAGTATTATAAAATTTTCTTGCACATTCCCAGGGACCCAAAGTTCAGAGAAATGCTGGACTTACTTGCCCAGCTCAAGAGTGGTTATTGTGATGGTTTAAAAGTCAGAATGGGTAGGCTTCAGAATCTCATGGCTTCCTCATGCATTGGTAAGACTCTTGCATTCTATAATTATTTCCTTTGGGAATAATTCTGTATCATTGTCATCTCCTTGTCCTTACAGAGCATTTGGACTTTCTCAATCTTGTTGATGTGAATCTGTTGGAAGTATCTCCCTTTCAGCAGTTGCAACATGCTTCCATTGGTTATCAGAGTTTGACTGACATCCCAAAGGCAATAGCCTATTCTGAACCAAGAGTCAACTTTGAGGTAAGTCAATTGAAAGTCTTCTTTTGTAAGCTTGATTTTAAAAATGTGCACTTGTTGAAAAATCCATAGAGTAAAGGAAAAAACTACAGATTCTTCCAAGAATGAAGATTTCTTTTATATGTGGCTATTTAACATAGTTTTATTCAATGAGTTTAGAAACAGTCGGTCTTTTAGTGTGATGCCACCTTTATGAGCTCACATGACATTGATTTATTGTGTCTTGTAGGAGTTTGAGCTCAAATCCACCAGTGAGATTATGGAAGCCCTCAAAATGTCAGACACCATGTGGGCTCAGAGTCATCTACTCTGCATTCTTCTCAGAAGAGAAGGATTTGATTACATGATTGAAGGTGTATCGGTGAGAGAGAGGCTGGTCTTGATTGAGAGGCAAGCCGGAATGCTCAAGCACTGGAGTGTTGTTCGCTTCTGCTCCAGCCTTCTTCAGAAGCTGGTGCACAGTGTCTCCCCATGCATCACCTCGATTCTTGTCACAGGGAAGCAGGTGGGAACAGGAATGCCTGATCAATTCTTTGGTGTTCATCTCAGTGGAAGATTTCTTGGAGATTTGACTGGAACACTTCCCATGTCTGTCACAGCTGACCATCGGGGTTGTGCCCAAGCAGGAAGTTGTTCTCGACAAGCCTATGGCTCCTTCAGACATTCGGAGTCTCATCTACAGCTCCATTACACCTGATACACATGACATTTTCCAAGCAGTGCTGCAGCAGGAGATCATCCTTTATGCTGGAAAGCTCATAAGCACTCATCCAGATATATTCAGTGGAATCCTCAAGTTTCGTGTCGGGTCAGTACACCCCTTTCAGTCTTAGGCTTTACCTCTTGAGACTTCAGGTCTGACAATGGATTGGGGTCAGATTCTTTTGTCTAAGATATATTTAATGAAAATTTTCAAACTTTTTTTTCAGGATGAATAAGAAATATTTCTCAAATAATTTTTAAAAAATTTACCTCCTTTTAATATAAAAAAACAAAACTTTTACATTAAAAAACATTTTGATCCTGTTTCTTTGAATCTGATTTGATGTTGCATGTCTACAGGGTTGTTGGTCAAGAGTGTAATTTCAACTATGCCTTCCATGAGATATTTTTTCAGGGATTGCATATGGGTGGAAATTCAATTTAGCTGAGTGGAACTAGTTCCACTCACTCCAGTTCTGTTTGGTAGTTACCATGATGCCATTTACTGCTCAGAAATTTTAGCCCTGAAGATTTTCTCAAATTTAATGGCAAAATTCACAGGTAAACCTGAGACAAGGTGTGCTAAAACTAAACTGGAATTTGTGAGAATGGTACAGACAACTACTGGAAATTCTTCAGAAAATGTCCACATATGTGTGCCTGGGGTCTTAAGAGATTGAGGTAGACATGCAAGGGGGCGTCAACTCAGACAGTGATTGGAGTTGGGTTGGCATTGGAAGCCAGAAAGAAGGAACTTATCCATAAATGTTGTCATGTTGATGTAGTTTCCATTAGATTGCCATGAATCTGTCCCTGTTTTTGAGTAAAGAACTCAATTCATTTGAGCCATAGACTCTATGGGTCAAAGGATTGAATACCATGGATATGTCATTCAATCCTATGGTCCCTTTGCTCACATACCTGTGGCAATTATTCAACGCATGTGTACTTGTGCATGAGGTCACTTGTTTAGGAGTGGGCAAGAGTCAAATGGCCAAAGCATACCAAGTTGTTATATGTGCCATATACATTGGAACTAAGCACCATATCAGGGGCATATATATGAACCACGTATTCCATATTCATTAAGAATGGCCAAAACATGATATGGTCTGAACAGCTTCTGAATAGTCTCCCATATGTATTGGGTCATCCGGGTCATCCCAAAAGTAATGCGTTTTTTTTCTATATTTTTAAATTAAAAATAAAACAATTTTTCAACAACCTTTAATCAATAACTTATTTCCCCTCATTCTCTACAACCTTTTTCCATCTTTCTGGTAAACTTTCTATATCCTTCTCATAAAATTCCCTTGGCTTGGACTCAAAAAACTCCTCCAATACAGTTCTGACTTCATCTATGGTAGCCATGTGCATTGCCTTTTCTATACTCATACAGCATAATATGCTGAATATGTTCTTTTGTCACTTTTCTGACACTTTCCTGACAACCTGACACTTTCCCTTGGTCTTTGTTTCAAGAACAAAGCAGGAAGACAAGGTGCTCAGAAGGGGTTGGAATCCACCTGTCTGCTTTCAATTTCTGATTTCTTTTGAAAAGTTCATTGCCTTACTTTAACGTTATCAATTGGGATCAAATTTCAGAAGTCTTTCCAGAACATATCACTCTATACCCAGTGCAAGTTTCATGGAAATAGTTCCAGTGAAAGCAGAGATATACAGGTTGCAATTCGATTGTCTTTTTTTGCCATACTCTGTATGTCCCTTTATCTGACTGGCATAGTATGAGCATACTCTTTGAGCTAAACTAAGAGGCTTTCTTTGGAAAAGGGGATCTTCGATGAATAGGCTTTTAGAGAAAAGAACATCCTCACTCCATCTTGCTCAACTATACCATTTCCTCTATCTGCTGTCTTGTTCACCCCTAGGTCCCCCTTTCCTTTTCAGTATCCAGGAAGAATATGACAGGTGTTCCATTTAATTTACACTGCCAGAGATAACTGTTTTGGATTTTCCTCTAAATGGGCTCTGCCATCTTGGTAAGCTCTGAATACCTCATAATCTCATTTTGTGTGGACTCTTCAATGTAGATGGGTGTTGAGGGCCATGGAGACATATCAGAAGGCTTTTGTGGGCGAAGAGGCCGAGCCCCTCGAGTGTTGCAGTCCGAGTGAGATCCGTCGCCTGCTCTTCAAAGTTCTCACCATTGAAGAATGGGCTGAACCTGAGAGGTAGTACAGTGATTAAAGTTGGATTCTGGGGAATATGGCATCTTATCATAGTACATTGTGGCATCACAGTCACGATGCCTTGTGGCATTGTTTCATGACTGGCTCTTTCTTGTCCTAGTTTGATTCCATATATCCGGCGTCAGTTGGAAGGTTGCCTTGGCAGGGTCCCACCTGACTTTTACCAAAGAGTGTGGCAGATTCTAAGCAAAGCTTCCAAGGGTCTCATCATCGGCAAGAACCTCCTTCCGCAGCAGCCGACCCTCTCCGAGATGACCATGTCCGAACACGGCTTTGCCATACGCATCGAGGAGATGCTGAACAGCATCTCATGCCCAGAATATCGACAGGTCCTCGTCGAGGTGACCCCTTTCTCCGTGCCTCAATTTCTCCTCTGCGGGTCGAGACGCGTGCTCATTTCCCAAATGTTTCTAGCTCGTCCTGGTGATCTCCACGATCCTGACCCGCAACCCCGAGCTTTACTTCCCCGAACCGGTGGATTTGGACGACCTGTTGTCAAAGGCCTTCATGTTGACCGAGGAGGGGAAGGTCAGAGGAGACATGAAGCCCTTCTTCAGTGCATCTTATGCCAAAGTCACCGGTTACTTGGCACGGGCAGTGGTCAATCACATCCTGTCTGATGACATCAGCTCCTTCAATCTGGATGACCAATGCTGCAAAGTGTCATAAACCTCAACTCCCTGCCCTTTTTTTTGTAGTCAAAAGTGTATCTTGCCCAGGAATATGATTTGACTGAATTTGACACCTTAAGGCAGTTATTCCCCTTACTACTGTACTTCCTTTGCTGGTGCTTGGCCATTAGGATTCAGCATATGTGCAAACGATGGTGCATGACAATGGTATTGTAATCCCCTCTGATGAATCTTTTTGACTTCATATACTTTGTTGAAATTTTGATAGTCTGTGGATGGCCCTCTTTTAGTGCCTCTAGGCAGGTAATGCCACTATGTGGTCTAATAACTTGTTTAGTTTCATGGTGATGCAAAATAGATTGTTGATCCACCTCTGACCCCAACAGAATGTGATATTGTTCCTATTGCAATTGCTCCATCTTTATGAAAGCAACCTAATCGTGCTCCTTGTCCAATACTTTAGATCGTCGAGACAAAGCAGCATACCCGAGCTACCCTCGCGCACTGGTATCTTTATGCTGTAATTTATCTTCGTGTTGAAGCCTATTATTCTGTCAGAGCTCGTATTTTCTCAAGCCTCTAGTGAAACTCACAGACTTAGAGCATGTGATCTCACTTGTGATCCAGAGGGAAATATTTGCCTAAGGCGGTCAGAGGCGAGCATCTTCGAAACAGCTAGTCATTTGCTGGAAGCGGGTCATCTGCAGAACATCTCACCACAATCAGATCTGCAGCGCGATCCTCTGGACGTTTTCGTGCAGCAGTCGTACCGAGCCCGATGATGCGAGTCGTGATCTGTTTTTTTTGCATCTGAATTGTGATCCATTTCACACCTGTCAGCAGTCCCAGTCTTCTTGCACTTATAACTTGTACCTTCCCTCTTTGTGAAATTTTTTGTGCAAGTGACGAATGTCAGTGACATGCAATAAAAGATCTGCATTTATCACGGGTACCTTCTCTGTGTGCATTTAAGCAATGCCAGTCAGCCACCTACCTAGAAAAGCCCTCAGTAGTTTCAAGAAGTCTCTATAACTTAATATTCTCGAAATGATTTCGAAGAAAAGCAAATGGTTTGCTTGGAAGATGTCGTAAAGAGTGAAATAACAGGGAGGCTACAAAAAAAAAATATTGATGTGGAAATGCCCAGAGCGAAAGAGCTCATCTATGGAAGTCTCTGAAACTTCCTTGAACTGATTCCTTGAAATGACGAGTGATGGCCCACCGACCAACCATATTCGAGTTGACTCGGTGATCCAGGTTTCAAAGTCGTATGCCGCTGGTACGCGAAGAAAAGGATTCTAAATACACTGTTTTCGGATTGAATTGGTATCCCCCCTAGGAGCGCTTCCATCAAGTACAGGCAGGACACCTTTTGGGAGGAAGGTGAAGTATTAATAGAACCATCCAACAACCATGTGGAGCATCAGGCTTGACATCTCGTCTGGAAAGCGTGTGTTTTCTCCGTTCTCCAGTAGGGGGGTACCAATTCAATCCGAAAACAGTGTACTAATACCGTGCATTCCAAACAAGATGTCGTCGAAATCCAGCAGTCTGACTTGCGATGTACTTGGACTTGTATTTTCTGCTATAAAATCTGGCAACACCGATGCTTTCAGTACTGGCGGAGCTCTTTTTTTTTCCCACATTTTTTTTTAGACCAACACCCGGATTTCAATTGTCACGACACATACCTACTACGCAAAAAGTCAGCGTGGGAGGCTCAATTCGGGCCTAAACGTCGAAATTTGTGATCAACGTAACTGGGACGGTGACGAGAGAGACCCAAGCGACATTGCAGGCTGCTCGGGGGACTGCCTTCCCAAGTATTCTGGGACTCGCGAGAGGTAACAAGCGTAGAAAATTGCCTTCTGCGCAGCATTGCAGCTGCAAAATGAGTCATCCCTGCCGGGATTCGAACCCGGGACCTTTGGATTAGAAGTCCAACGCGCTATCCACTGCGCCACAGGGACCTTCTCTCTTCTTCTTCTCCTCTCATCCCCTATCCAACCTACGAACGGGTGAGAGATCGCAGTCCCGGATGCACGGATGCGTGGATCCCGTCCCGGAACCCCGCCACCCCTCCCTTTTCCCGAAATCCGTGATGAATGGCTCCGGGTGAGGGCGCGGACGGCGAGAACTCGCTCCGAGACCGCACGATCGCCATCGACGGCTCGTTCCAGTGCCGTTTCGTTCCAGTGCCGGCTCGCTCGAGTGCCGGCGCACCGGATGCACCGAGGAGATCGACGACGTCGAGACTTTCTCGAGAAACGTTTGAAAACCCGGTTCGGTACCTAGCACCTCGGTAGTACCTTGCACCTCGTGTCCTAGCACCTCCCCGTTACGCCTTCGGAGTTCCCTAAGTTCTCGCAGTTCCATTTTTCAGAGCAAATACGAATTCCCGTCGATACTTCGCGAGTCGCCTCTTTCGCTCCCGCTCGCCAGAGAACGAAACACCCGAAAGAACGGCTTCCCCGTTCCCATCCACGACATCGCACGTGATCGCTCTCCGCGTTCCCTCCGACCCGAAGACTTCTCCAGACTCGCACGACGAGAAAATCCAATCGTAATCCTCCAGGCCTAATCCTCCAGTTCGGGCCCGAGGGTGGACGACGCCGTCGCTTCAGGTACGATCATTGTTTCCGCCGGATCCCATTGTTTCGCACACGAGGGTTTCTCGCTCGGCTCGGAGCCGTCTCCGATCGGATCGACGTCCGCAGGAAGGCCGTACCAGGTGGGTACTCGATTACTGGGTACTCGAGTACTTCCAGTACTCGAGTACTGGGTATTCGAGTACTCGGCCTTCTCGAGGAAGCCTCCGATGAAGATGTTTTTTTTTTTCGGTCTTTTCGTTTTCGGAACCCGGGATCTGCGGATTCTCGCCGCCTGTGCATCTTCGGCCGAAGCCTCTCTCCCTTCGTCGAGATTTCGAGTGGGAGAGATAAGGAGACGAGAGAGACGAGTCCGTCGTGACGCCCGGGACCGTGAGTGAGTCGAGATTCTTTTAGACGTCATGCTTTCATTCTAAGATGAGAGGTGCTCCAACTTTGGGGGCGTTGGGGTCATTGGCCTATGGAGGTCTTAAGTCCAAAATCTCTTCTATTCTTGGATGAGCCAAAGCCGGTGCCAAAGTAGGGAGAGGGGAAGGGAGGGGAGGGGGGGGGGGGGGGGCTTCAAGGTTCAAGGTTTTTTTAGGGGTGTCAAGAGACTCATCCGCCCACAATGAGGTCTCGGGTCTCGGTCCCGCGTTCATCACGAGACAGGCCTCTCTACCCCTCTTAGAGATACGTACTTTTGTGGGAGCACGGCCAACCCGTCTAGCGCCGCTCAGCTCCACGCCGCTCTCCTTTTCCGTTCCGAAGCCACGAAAGCCTCTCAACCGGCGGGGGGAGGGAAGGGGGGGGGGGG